CATACCACCATGGCCATAGAGGTCATGGCAGGCATTCACCGCCGTTTCTCAGAGATGTCAGCGATAAAGCTTTACTAGAATATTATGATATTTTATCTGACGATAGGAAGACAATCGCTCAACAGAAAGCTGGCGTTATGGATTGGGCAGTAAAGTATGGGATTGAGGTGAGAAGAATTATTTCAATAGGCATATCTCTTTACTCCTGTAGAGGATTTTCCATCGTTTCAGAATCAAGTCAAGGAGTACAACACCTATGATGCCAGAACTAGGAAAGAAATCCGTTACAATGTCACCAAATTGATCGATGACCTTCCATTGGCTATTGATCGATTCTTCGACGTCATGGACGACGAATATCAGACACGAGAAGAGCGACGAAAAGAGCTTGAAGATATTAGCGCTCAAAATCCGAAGGTAAGGGGTTATCGAATAGCTCTATATCACCTGCTGTCCCTTTGATCATCGACTTCTTCGAGTGGGCGCCAGATATCCGCGTAAGGCCGCTTTCATAGTTCGTGAGCGAGCGAGCGCGCGAGTCAGCCGGGGACTACTCGTCCGGCGGTATCCAAGATTCAGTTGTAAACAAGAAGCAAGCGCCGCCCCAATCGCGCGCTCGCGGGTCAGATCGTGGAGTATGAAGGCTTAAGAATGCGTAAAAACAGGTACAATGAATGTCCTGTAATGTCTCTATGCGTGGTGCCGCAAGCACGAGCTGTTGGAATGTGCGCGGCATTGCATACAACTGCCTGCAGTAAGCTGCCTTTGTGCAAGGTGTGGGTTCTGGTGCGAATGGTGCTGCCTCTACAGCTTAGATTCATAAAGGAGAGGGAGGAATCTCAGGAACCACTTTTGACATAAACTATACCTTTAAAGGAAAACACTGTTGCAGTAGGTGTCCAGTGCCTTTATTCGAAATCGAATCACTTGCTTGTCGATTATCCCACCCGCCGCGAATCGCTTTTCCACGTTGGATTATAGTTTCACACTTAATAGAGGCAGCATTTTTAATCCAAATCCAAAAAAGCTCTGCACTATAAGTATCGTACTTCTAAACCTCAATTCATTGATCTTGCAGCTGATTCCATAAATCAAACAATCATTTTTCTCGTAGTGTGATCTGGTATCTATTGAGCTAACGACCGTCAGCTCTATCATGATTTATAGCAAAGATGGCAGTGTTCTGTTTCTGAGCTACAGCGGATATGTACGACAAGTTCATAGAGGGACAAGAAAACTTCATTGCACTGGCTCGTTGACGATTGCGTTATCACACTTCTTAGCACACAGACAGATATTCGGCGTTTATACGTCGGCTTTTACATCCGACGAAACGCCGATGGCACTTTCCTAAATCATCTAACGTGTGCCGGAACATTAGCTCCCATCCACTGAATGTATATCTTCCTTAAAAGTGATGATTCAGTAGTTGAAACATTTATTGAAGCGATATTAACAGGAATAAGGCGAGGCGAATGAGTGGGCACGAGGAAAATGACGGTTATCCCTTTTCGACTTTTCAAACCAGTCTGGCAGAAGGCAGCGAAACGCCTTAGCCTCTACCCGCCTTAGCCCTACATCTGGGTGATCGGAATTTAACAATGAGTTACTATCAACAAAGGCTACGGGAATGTGCGACATAACGCGTGCACTTTTTACCAACGCGACAAAACGATGTAGAGACTACTGAGGCAACGTATGAGTGTATTAAATAGTACTCATTCACTCGTTGAAGTCTTTACTATGCTTGCAGAAAGGCTGATTGTCAATATCGATGGGGCTAACGATCTTGATGAGGGATGATGAGGGTATAACTTTCCCATGCTCGCGAGACGAGATCGACAGCCAAAAAGGAATGGCAGCGGTAGAAATGGCTTCTGGGCTTCAGATAAGAAAGATTTCCTTGAACAGTCGGTGATCTAGCTCAGTCATTCCAGGTGGTGCATTACGAAACTTGCGAAACTGATAGCAAGATTTACGGAATCGGTTGCAAAGTTTACAACATGAAATGCCAAAATGTTTGCATATGCGAAACAGAATGGGAGCAGAATTGGTTCCGAGCCTGCAAAATTCGCTGTAATGTTTTTGAAATTGGGTGGAGAACCCTCTTGCGAGCTTTACGAATAAGGATAAATTGTTTCAGCTGTTCCGTGTGCTAAGGTTCGCCATTGATCAATTCCAAGCGAGGCATGGCCTATACGAAGATTG